TGATGTTTTCAATGCAGTTTTTAAAGTGTTGCAAAGTCACTGCACGTTTTAGGCTGCAATGGTGTATTTTAAATTACAGCTGTGTGCTGGAGTTTTGCAGGTTGTTCTTTCCCACTGCTTTGCCTCTGGCCCCCAAAGATTTGCAGAGTCAACCTGCAGCACATCTTACAGTGTTTTGAAGTGACTTAATGTGCTCRTTTCTGTTTGTTTAGGCCTTTGAGTTGGCAACAGGGGACTATTTGTTCGAGCCTCACTCTGGGGAAGATTACTCACGAGATGAAGGTCTGTTTGTCTAAGCTTTTCCCTTTTAAAATAGGACTTGAAATGCAGTGGTTGCCTCTTCAAAAAAAGCCTTCTCTTACAAGTTAACAACACAAAAGCTCCTTGCAAAAAGATTATTTACCCAAATCAGCAGCAACTGTGCTCAAGCCTGTGCAGTAAAACACTGTGCAACAAAATCCATATTCTTCTTCTGGTGTTTTGCATTCCTGTTGCTGCTGGATTCTCTACCTTGTGTCTCAAACTGTGCCTCAAATTGCCCATATTTGTTTTCCCCTTGCCCCTTATCTTTGTCGTTGCTTAGTGTAATCTGATTTCAGGTGGATCTCAAATTAATTTTTAAGGGATAATGTCTTTATTCTTATATCCCAGAGCGGGACACTGCAGCATAGAGATGTCTTGTGTGGCTRCATCTCATTTTTTAAAAAWTTATTTATKTTTACATGCAGATCATATTGCATTGATCATAGAACTTCTGGGGAAAATACCTCGCAAGCTCATTTTGGCAGGAAAATATTCCAAGGAGTTTTTCACCAAGAAAGGTAAAAGGAAACAAAGCAAATATCACTTATCCTCTCATCCCTTGCCCCAGATACACAGCAGTGTCTTGCTGGAAATGCCAATTAGAAATAGAATCCAGCAAAGAGTCTTTCCTTTGCTTTAWGGAAGGTTTTATCAGTAAAACTGCAGCTAAATGTGAGGTGTTCTTGTCTTACTCCTAAAAGTATCCCACACCCTAGTGSTCAGCATCTTGGTGTAGAGCAAATGCAGCAGGTAGAAGAACAGCAGAGTGGATGTTTTGTCAGTCTGGATGTGGTTTTATTTAGCTGATTGCTGTCAGCTAGAGATGGGGATTCACTTTTGAAGTCCTTTCCAGACAGCTTGACTCCATTTCTGGCATGCCAGGCACCTTAAATAGTGCTCAGAGCACAGAACATCATGAAGTCCTGAGTAGCCCAAAAATGTATTGAGTCAAAAAATTAGTTTTTGTCCTAGTTTAATATTCTTTTTATAAAAACAAGCCCTTCTTTATTAGTGGTGTATTGCCTTCTCCCAGTGCTCCATGCTTTGCATGTATTCCAGAGTCAGTGGCACAGTTTATTTGTCAGTCAAGCAGCATCATTGGTGATTTAATGAAGTTAATATTTGCTGATAGGGGATGTGAAATAGCAGGAGGTACCATTTGAGGAAGCACATTTTTGTAACAGGCTTCTAAAGCAGATAGAAAAGGGTTTAATACCATGGACTTCTCCCTTCAGCAGGCTCTACCACTTTATGTTCCCTGTGGCCAGCTGTTAGAACAGTCTGTGACTTCACTCTGTCATGTTTAGCTGTTCAGCCAATTTTACTGAGCTGCTCTGTTCCCATGCCTTGCACTTAACCCATTTGTCTTGGGTTTCCAGGTGATCTGAAGCACATCACCAAACTGAAGCCCTGGGGCCTTTTTGAAGTGTTGGTGGAAAAATACGAGTGGGCCCAAGAGGAGGCAGCTGCATTCACAGACTTCTTACTCCCTATGCTGGAGCTGATCCCAGAGAAACGAGCTACAGCAGCAGAGTGTCTCAGGCACCCCTGGCTTAACTCCTAGAAGCTTCCAAGCAATGCCACAACGTTATACTCTGGTTTACAGCATAGCCTACACACCCAGCTGCCCTTCCCCAGATCCATTTTTCTCCTTGTTCACTTTCAGTGTGGAGTTCTTCCTTCAAGGCTTCCAAGATTTTAGATAAATCTAACCTGTTCTGCTGAATTTGTTTGTGTGACTTTATGGGGATTTCCCCTCAGCCAGTGGGCATCATCTGTGTTTTTGCCTTGATTGGGCTTCACCAAAGACTAATTGACCTAGAATAAGAAATTTTTCCTCAGTCTCCTCACTGTTAGGCACCGTGTGTGACAGATGTGAGCTCACCYGTGCTCGGATATCTCCCTTAGCTAAACTTCAACTCTCCTTTCTTCCTGTGAAGATCTCACTGACTCAGGAGTCAAGTTTCCCAATGTTGATCCAGTAGCTGCTGATGGGGTGAGAAGTTACAGATGGCATCAAGGTGGTGCCAGATCCTTGTTAGAGCAAAGACCTTGAAATYCTCCATCACTCTCTAGGTGTCTACTGTATTCTTTGCTTTCCAATCACAACCCTTTATTTAGTTCTAGCTGCTTTTGAAAGAGCTTTTTAAACCTAGGTTTTAGTATCCTTTATTTCTTCCTCCAAAGTGCCCTGACCATTTACTTTTCCTCCTTCCCTGTGCCCTCARTAGTCAGAATAGTTTCTGGACTTGGTGATGTTTTCTACTTTGATGCCTGTGACTAAAAGGTGACAAGCAAAATAAGCAAAAGCTGGAACTGACTCAACGCACAACCCTCAGCAAACAGATGGGTGCACCCTTAGCCTGCAGAGAGAGCCTTGGTGCAGGCAACTCTTAACATTATAGTGAGCCATAAGTTTTGGGGGTTTTTTATCCCTTACTGGCACTTTTTTGCCTTGCTTGATGTGGTATTCATGAGAGATTGGCTTTCACTGATGCAGTCTGCTCTGACTTTTTGTTTTTGACCATTATTTTTTTTTTCAAGGAAAGGGTTGCAGCTCCTGTATTACAGCCATGCCGCAGCCCAGGACTTTGAAAAATCAACACTTGAAGTTCCAGTGTAAAGATTTCTTCTGATTTTGCTTCAGGTGCAGGCCTTCAGAAATAACTTCCCAGGATGGGACTGCCTTTTATTTTCTGGGCCRTTAGCACAAGAAGAGAGCTAGCAGAAGTGGAAGAGATGACTTTTCCACATAGATGCTGGATTAGAAGCTGTTCTCTACAGTTACCCCAAGTAAAAATGTTCTATGGGGTCTCTGTGTGACCTTCTCAGAGGGGCTTGGACAGAATGGGTTAAATGGGTTAATTTTAATTAAAAGTTAAATCACTGTGGCATTTGATAGTTCTATGATGGCTTCTTCTAGACTTACCCATCCTGTTACAGATTCAGTGCATCCCACTCTTCTCTAAGCGAGATTTGGCAGCGTTGAGACTTCAGAGATACTTCCTAACYCTGGACCAAACAGGCCTTTGGATTTGTGGTGGCTTGCAGAGGACAGAAGTTGCTGGAGACCATGCAGATGCTATCCAAGACAATTTCCATTGCCAAAGCTGCCAGTTCCACTGTCACGTGTCCCTTGTGTGTGTATGTTTGGGAATTCTGGTTTGGAAGGATCATTCACTCACAAACTGGGTCATTTAATCCATTTGAACAGAGKTTTTCTCCAGTTCAGAGCCTGATTTGGCCTATTTATGCAAATCATGCTGCACGTTCCTTTAGTGATAGATCTGGATCTCTATGCATATAATAAAAAAAAARAAAGGCAGGTRACATACCAAAAATATTTTAAACTGCTGATTTGACCTTTTGTTTATCCTTTCTTCCATTTTCCAGTTTTGGGTCACTTCTGTGTCTGTTACAGGAGGACTGCAGGCAGTACTGGGTTCTAACTTACACATTGGCAGGACAAACAATTCCTTGAAAGCTCAGCCAGTCCTGCCTGATTGAGACTGGCTGATGAAGGAACATTTCCCATACGGGGCTCTGCACTCTGTGAGAGCTCCTCCCCATCCTTTCTTCCCTTCCCTCTGCCAGTCCTGACTGGAGGAAGGGTTTTTTTTTACCATGATAACCAAGGCCAGAGCCAGCTTGTGAGTTGAAGACCTGCAGAAGCAGCTGTCACGATTCACTCCTGTACCGTCTGCTGTTCACTTGGGGTTTGTTCCATTTCCAAATTGCCGTGAAGTGCTCACACTAAAGGATTTGTACTTGCTGTGTCAGTCTAAAACCTGAAGGAAAATACATTTTTATTCTTTCTACTTGGGTGCTTTGTCTTTTTTTTTTTTTTGTTGTTCTTTTCCTTTGTGAAAGCCCTACAATAAACAGATTATTTAATAAATGAGCCCTAGTCTTCATACATTCCCCTTATAATTCTGTTCTGAGTCGGGGGCTCAGGGATGGAATTTGCTTCACTAGTGAACGTTTTAATTTCCAGAATGAGACGCAGATAAAAGATTTTGTTGCTGGTGTTGTGATCTGTTTTAAAAAATGGGAGAAGAGTAAAAAGTAGCAGGACAACTTTGGTGGAATCTTTCCATTCTAAAATACATTTTTAAGTCTGTCCTATCTCTGCTGTCTTATCAAGCCGAGAGTCTCAATGAAATCTTCCCAAATAAGTTTTTAGAGGGAAGCATAAAACTGGAAGGGATGTGTTAGAACTGTGCTGAATTGARTGGTGCAGGAATAATTGACAGTGGGTAGAGATGAAAATGATAATCCAGGCTGATTTTGGGTTCTSACCAGGTAAGAGCTGCTTTGTCTTTGGCAGAAATGGGCTGTGCCAAGGGCTGCCATGGGTGGGTGTTGAATGGGATGGGAGATGATGGCTCAATCTGATTAATTGGGTGGTGCAGGGAGTTGATGGTGACTGGCACCATCTGCTGTGGTTTGTGGGTGCTGTTCCAGGCCTGCTGCAGCCCAGCTGGTCGTTTTCTGGTTTTGTTGTCTGGTTTTGTTGTATTTTTTTTTTCTTTTCCAGTGGTTGTGTTTGGTTGTTGTTGCCCAGAGCAGGGAACTGATTCATGGCTCAGCTGGGAATTGGCCTGTCACAGTATTTTTCCAGTAAAAGGGACATGGCAGAGGGTTTCCTCTGCCCTCAGGAGATGAACACAAAACCCAAACCACTGATGTTTTGGTGGTGGTTTTTTTTTTTTTAATTCATAATTTCCTTAAAAGCAGATGTACAAACCCCCCCAAAAGCAGCAAATTGCCATCCTTCCCCTCTTGTCCCTCTTGCTGATGATCTCAGAAAAACTCTTTATGTCCAGTTTGGTTCTTGCCACCAAATAAGCTCCACAAGAGCTGTGAGCCAAGAGCAGCCCCATGGGTGAAGGAAACAGCTGTAGAAAATCCACAGAATTTGGTAAGTTTAAGCTTCCTAGAAGAGTCACTTCAAAGAAGARGGCTGATGGAAGAAGAAAGAGCTCTGGATGTCCCTGGGAACAGAAAGAGTAAGTCAGCTGTTGTGAAATGGATGGACTTGAAAATTTTCAAAATTTCAATTTTTAAAATTTTTTAAAATGAAAAAAACCTATATTTCAATTTTTAAAAAATTCAAAATTTCATTTTTAAAATATATTTTGACTTTTAATTTTTTTAAGTTTTTTTTTTTTGGTCATGTGGCAAGGATTTGTGTTTTCCCAGTTTTGGGAGTCAAAGCGAAGACTTTCATCTTTAACCACAAATAATACCAATGTGACTCTATCTGAAATCAGCCATCAATCCTTTGATAATCAGAATACAACAGTAGCATCACAGATTCTGGGAATGTTAAAAATCTCTGTGGGTTATCACTTACGTGGTGATCAGCTCTGTCACTCATTTTCCTCTTCTGTAAAAAAAAAAAAAAGAATTGCAGAGTTACCATGGGAAATTGWAAGGATTGGTTGTGTTTTATAGGCTTCTCTTTTAAAAAGAATAAAATAACTTAAACAGGGTCAGGAGGAAGCCCCAGGCTTGGGTCAAATTGGGCTTCTGCCTTGTTCTCCATCGATTTTCTGCCTTGTGCTGGCTCCCCATCCCTACAGAGCAGCGTGTGCCTGTGGCAGGGGAGCAGCCACCATCCACCCCAAAAACAGGATCGAAGTGTGGGGCAGAAACGCAGCAGGAGCGTTCGGGGGAGTTCTCCMTGCTCTTACCTGCTTCCTCCACCTTGAAATCCGAGGGGAGGAGGTGGTCCTGCCGGTTGCCCAGCACGAAGGCCAGGAAGGAGAGGATGAGGGCRTCGAGGATGCCGATGATGCACAGGATGTAAGCCCAGCGCACGGTGCAGGCTCCCAGCGTGTATTTGTCCGTCTTGTCCCCGCACAGCCGCCGCACCTCAGTAGAGTCCCAACCGTCGGGGTAGATCAGGCACCCGATCATCAGCCCTGTAGCTGCAGGGACAGGGTGATATTAGTGCCTTCTGAGCAGATTGATGTCTAAGATTTTTATCTTTTTATGTTTTCCCTGKATTGTAGCTTTGCWGATTGCTAAAGCATGGCTGGAGCTTCCAGTACTTTTCCTATATTTCTTCCCTAGATTTAGGAGCAATAAGTTAACCTTATAAACACACTCCTAATTATTATTTAATCTTATTCCAAGAAGAGAACTGACTACAAAGATTTTCTGTTTTCCAACCAGAATCTGGACCAGATATAAAAAAGTAGGGCAAAAGAAACCTCTGGACTGCTTCCCGTGGGGCAGGACCCCAGGAATTATTACCTAACCAATGAACCCTTTAATTGGACAGTAGATGATAAGTGTACTGATAACTAACCTGATAAAAGTTGCAGAATTACTATACCTCGTGTGATTTTCACTGTATTGTGTACCTGAGAGCTTTCAAGGTTGGTTTTTATATTCATTCTAATGTTGTTGGAAAGATCTGCTCTATTTTCCAGGCATCAATACTGAAGTGGAGAGAGCAGCTGGAAGAGYAAACGTGCTACAAACACATCAGGTACTGCAGATGTGTCCCTTGAGGGGCTCTGGGGTTGCTCATCCCCAGACAGGGAGGAGCAGGATCCTGCCTGCTCTGCTGCCTTCCCACCAGCCAAGGATGTGCTGCTCCAGCATCTCCGATCAGCGTTGCCCAGGCAACGCCTCTCCTGCCTCTGCACAGAGCCCTGCCCGTGTCACTCCAAGGAAATATTTTCTCCAAACAAAACTGGGATGGGCTTAGCCTGTGCAAGATGGAGAACCTGGCTGGTGCTGTGGGAGTAGCTGATTTCAGCTTAGGGTTTGCTAAGGTAGGGCTGCCGTCAGCAGCAGATTTGCAGCAGATTAATTSTGCTTGTTCAGCTGTGGTGGTTTCAGTGCCAGCTCCTCCTGTGCCTGCTCTCAGCTCAAACAYAACCTCGAGAGCTGCTCCAGCCTGGCCACGGGCTCATCAGCACCTCACCTTTGCCATGGCACCTGCAACAACCTCGGTGCCAGCAGGCTGCTGAAGGGCAGCTCATACCCCAAAATCTCACAAAATCTGCCATTTTCACCCCCTCAGAGAAACTGTATTTACTGGACAAGAGCAACGACTGGGTTTGGGATTAATTCATCTGCAAGGTTTTGGGGTGTGATTAACAAAGWCCCTTCACTCTTACATTGGTGCAGAGCATGGAACTATCTTATGTAGATGTGAGGCAGTCCCTGACTCTTTTCACACAAGAAACAGCCCCATGGTGGAAGCTCTGGATAAGCAGATGTTTGTCCCTGCACCTCTTGGACATCTGCAACCTCCTGAGATGCACACCAGCACCCTTTCCCTGCCATAGGGTGCTCAGTAATCAAAAACCCCTTTTGGGGCAGTTGCCCTGACCTTTGCCAACATTTTCTGTTTCCTGGGCTTGGGGACAATCGAGCAGCAAGATGAGCAGGCAGCTTCCTTGGTCTGCAGAARGCATTTCTCTTCATGGAAAAGCAGTTGGTTTATTCTGTATTTAATTAATCTTCCCTGTAACTAACTAAGAGGAGATGCACAAAGAAATGGGGGAAGGTGGGAAGAAATAATTTCTGTGAAACTGCAACCTAGTGCAGAGCAAAGGAAAAAGATCTCTCTAAGCCTCCCCACTTTTTAAAATAATTCCTGAAGTGCAGGAGTACCTGTCCCTCTGGCCAGAGCTGCCTGTGACACTTTTCCCCCATTCAGAACAACAACAAAAAAAAAAAAGTAAAAGCCCCAACTACCACAGCAAAACCTTTCCCTGCTCCAGCTCCCCGGGAGGCTGAGCTGCCCCAAGCCTCTTATCTAAATCTTTGCTTGAGCTCGCTTCTTCAGCTGAGAACTGAAGAAACCCCGCTGCCGCCTCCCCCGGGCTGTCCCTGCCGCGGCCGGGGCTCGCATCAATGATTCAGGAACAGCAAAACTGGCTTGGGTTTCAGCCGAGGCTCCGATCCGACCCAGGGCTTGGGTTACCAGGTGTCTCAAGTGCCGTGGGGGAGAGGCGGGGGAAGCTGGACATCCACAGGGATGAGCAAAAAAGTAAAAAAAAAATTAAAAAAAAAAAAAAAATGCCAGTGATGGTGCCAAATGAGCCACTCAGTTCCCTCCTCGTGTTTCATCTTCCTCGTACATTATTCCCTGAACTCAGGGAGTTACTACAATGGCCCAGCAAACGTCACCGCTGTCTCCCTGCTGAATTCCTGCAGGATTCCAAACACAGCAGAGCGCTCTGGGGTTGTTTTTGGTGCTCTCTGATACTGATACTCTGAAGCCTCCCTGCGGCTGAGCAGGAGCAGTGGCGCTGGGAGAAGCTCCCCCAGGTAAGCGGGGTTTGGCACGAGGTTTTGCGGCAGCAGCAGCACCGGGTGAAGCATCACCCCGCACGCAGCGAGTCTGCCGCGTCTCACCTGCTCTGGAAGGAGTTTTTTACTTAAAACTCCCCGCTGGTGACCAGTAAGAGGCAGCAAATGGCACGGAGGTGACACTGGTGTCTCTTTACTCACCACTCCATCCCAACAGAATGAGGGAACAGGGTCCCCCCCCCCCGCTCCCCGCGCATCTCCCCAGCCCCGCTCACCCGCTGCCAGCTGCATCCAGGCACAGACTTTGTAGACGGTGGCTGCGTTGCAGAAGAAGAAGAGGCTGAAGCAGAGGATGGTGCCGATGATGAGGAAGGTGGAGACGCCTACGAAGAACATGGCAGTTTTGTAGGCGCTGGAGGGGATGGTGCCGAAGTCCAGCGGGCTGCCCTTGCAGATGAGCTCACCGGTGAGCGCGTTGCCGATGCAGTAGGAGAAGAGGCCGAAGTAGCCGGCCTGCGGCGTGTCGATGCTATCGCCGATCCAGTAGGGCTGRACGAAGGTCACCACCATCAGGATGGAGAAGCAGAGTGTGAAGAGGGCCCAGAGCACCCCCATGGCCCGCGCGTTCCGCACATAGTTGGTGTGGTAGATCCGAGCCGCCTCCTGCGCCGGCAGCAGCTTGGACATGGCGGGGGCAGCGGCCCCGGCCCCGCTCCGGCCCCGCCCGGCGGCAGCGGGGGC